CCTATCCCCCTGTGTGCCTTGCCTCCCACGACTAAAAAGTTAACGAAATAAGATATAGATTTTAAATCACCTTATAAAACTATCAACTCATTTTATTTGTGAAGGTATAAAAGTACTCGTCGTAATTTTGTTTTAATTTTTTTTTCTGCAGCTTCCTAGTAATTATCTCCGTCTCACCAAAAATGCTCGCCCTTTCAGCTGTGGGAGCGTTATAATGTGACGGTCAATGCTACTAATCGTTGGTAAAAGAGTAATTTTTTACTCTTTGCGCGAAATTCAAAACAAATCAAACTAGTAATTATCATCGTAAACTTCAATTTTTTTGGTCATGAAAAAAAAAAATCACTTTAGTAGAAACAATAATATTCTTGTTTTTCCAAACCTTTATATTATTTGTTGTCCAAGGATTTTGCTTACATAGCAGCGGAGACTGTCTTTAAACCAAGAGCTAACTTCCTTAATGCAGAAAGAATGAAACTAAATCTTGTTAATCCTGGAGCTATATGTTAGATCAGTGTTTCCCAACCTTTTTCGCCGCAGCGCCACCTTCAGCAAACAACGAGTGCTCATGCCTATTCTAATAAATTTTGAGACCATTAGAATATATTACTAAAATGAAAATTGTAAGGCAATATCAGTCAATTCTTATGGTTCAATTTTAACAAATATAACTTTGAAACCCTTAAAACTATTGTGTCCGCCCTCTCCAGCCCCTCAAAATTTACTGCCACATGAATTTTACAAACGCCCACTAGGGGCGGTACCGCCCAGGTTTGGAAACACTGGATTAGATTTTCAAAGAAGAGATAAGAATTTATTTGCCCAACTGCATTTCTTAATTGTTTGTTTATTTGTAGTTAAGCACAAAGCTGCACAATGGGCTATCTGTGCTCTGCCCAACACGGGTATCGAAACCCGGTTTCTAGCGTTATAATTCCGCAGACATGTTAATACAGAGAAAGAACATAAAAGCAGAATATATTTGCGAAAGAAAAGAAAATACGTAACTTCGTTGATTTTGTTTATAATTATATATATTTATTAGTTTCAGAATTGCAATTCTTGTTAACAGAGTGATAATCAAACCAGATCCAAAATAGTAAAAAATAATCGCAGTAAAAGCATATTTTGACAAACACTTCTCAATTCTGTTCTCCATTCCATGGACTAAAGTGATTATTGAACTGAAACAAGAAAATGTTAGAAAATATGAAAAGTGGTAAAACTTATGTTCAAGAAAGCAGTATCATATGAAATATTATTATTTTTACACACAAATAAAATAAAAGAGACGCATTTCCACGCTATGTATAGAGCTATTACTTTATTTTGCTTTACAAATACAATAATGAAGTATAAACACAGTACAGCAGGTTCCCATGTGATTGATATTAAGAATAATATTCAATGCACATGTTCTTGTAATATAGGTAATGTTGCTCAAGCCTTAACTTCTAGAACATAAAATGCAGCCAGCTTTACGACGACGACGACGAATCAGTTGATATTATTTTATATTTGGTACCTTATCTTCTTCCAACATTTCCTTTTTTTCCTAATGTGACTAGAACATAAAATAAATATGTTATCAGATACTAAAATTAGTGTCATACCTCTTCACAAAATTACTGTGAACTTTAATGACAACTAGAAACAAAACAATATCATTATAAACATGAATATCTAATTTAAAGATAGTGCATTTCATTTGAACGGAGATATTTAATCGGTGGTAGGTAATACGCTCACAATAGTATTCAATGTTCCGGTTGGTACTTTATATATTTGATATAAATTAAATTTACACGAACTTGTGTTATTTTTACATATAATTATGCACTCTTGTTAACGTACCTTAATCCCACCATATTTTACTACTGCCTCCTTTTCTACCTCTTCCAGCTCTTCCACCACCAAGTCCACCACCTCCTATAACTCCACCACCAAGTCCACCACCTCCTATAACTCCACCTCCAAGTCCACCCCTACCAAGTCCTCCAACACTAAGTCCACCCCCACCAACTCCTCCTCCACCAAGTCCGCCAACACCAAGTCCTCCACCTCCAAGTCCCCCACCTCCTGCTCCCAGTGCAATTGGCACAGCAAGTACTGCTAAAACAACTCGGCCACCACCACCACCTCTTCCATATTTAATCCCTCCATAGCTCTGTCCTCCAAAACCACCTCCAATGCCACCGCCTCCAACGTTTCCACCACCACCTCCAACTCCTCCTACTGCTATTGGTATAGGCTATAAAGATATAATTTTATAAGGATACTTTATGAATCTGTTTATTTTACGTATAGAACAGATGTTCTTTGTTTATTATAAGGTGTTAAACAAGTTACAAGATTTATAACAGATGACTCAGACTTTAGATTTAACTGATAGGCTGAAGTTGTCGATGGTAATGTACATCCATTTATACTTCAATGGTTAGGTATCTAAAAACACTCAATACCAAAACAAGACTACCTAAAAATTAATAGGGGCAGATCTACATCGTTTTACGGAAAACAGTCAAGATTTATTAATCCTTGGATATGATATTTTATGAAAAAAATTGTCAAGTCTATAATAGTGTGCCTTTTGCGTACTTAAACAAATTGAAATACATTTATTTAAACCAAAGTAAATTTGCTGTCTGTAAATATTTGATTCTTTTCATTTATTTCTCCGTTTTGTGGTTAAATAAAGTTGTCGGAACATGTTCGCATTTTCACATGGTCTGTTAGTATCAGTGAGGAAATAGGTCAAAATCTATGTCTGTTTTCATCCCTGATAATTAAGCTTAATGGATCTGCAGATTTACTCAATCCAAGCCATAAAAACTTTGTCAAAAATATGCACGTCATAAAAATTACTTTGAGTGAACTAACAATAAATGTATTCGTTTTAACATAATAATATTAAGTCACTTAATCTTAATATATTTATGATTATGTTATTTTTATCTTTTATACTGAGTGAAAAAGAAGATGTATAAAAACACACACTGCTAATATTATACCTGTATACTAACACCGCCACCAAATCCACCACCCCCTGTTCCTCCGCCTCCATAGCCTCCTCCTCCTCCTCCGCCACCGTAACCGGTAGCTGAACCTTTAAGTTCATCTTCTGTCTTCACTTCATCCTGAGTTTCACCGTGTACCAATGTTGTTGAGAGAATAAGTGACAAAAGAAACGACACCTGGCGGAAAAGAACGGAATGAATGAAACAAGGCCTATGTGTACCTAATTTTTAATTGATAGACTAGAGGAAAACAGCTAGTCAGCAGCACCCATCATCAATTCTTGGGCTAATTTTAAATGATCAGTTTGATTATGAACATAACATCTGAATATATTTTCTATCTGTATTAGTCGTTATTAGGGATATTTTAAATGTCATTTAAGTTTTATGTTGCATTTTTAAAAATTTCATTTTTTTAAATGTATACCTTCTAGAAAATTTCGTCAGTGATGTAATATTAAAATCCGAATTCGTTTCATTATTTCGATCGAATTCCACTTTTCAAATAGTATAGCCAATAGATATAAAGTGTTATTCATTCTTTTTCTGAAAAACAGTTTTCCTGCATGAAAATTGTCTCACTAATAGAGTGGTAATAACCTTTTTATAATATTTTCTATGTTTTTCATGTGGAAAGAGTAAACCTTTAACTAATCGAACACACACATACAAATACATTACAAGAAAGTCATAATCATAAATTTGATCATATTACTGTGCTACAGATTTCTTCTCCGTACACCGTATTTCTTACTCAAAGAGTATAACTAAGTTTTGAAGTCCACATACCCTTTTCTGCATCTTGTTCCAGATTAAAGTGTTCTCGTGAGGATCTGAAGAAGTTGGTAAGTTCTGAAGTTTGCTCTCTTATTCGGCTTCTTATATACCCGACTTGAATCACCTGTTTTACAGTACTAACGAAGACACGTTGAAAATAAAAGTAATAATGAATCAAATTTTGATAGAGTTTATTGTTCTTACGCTGAATCGTGCTGTTTTATTGTTCGTTATTTACTAGACTATTTTTTATGGTCATTATCTTTATTCACGTTGAATATTTCAGCGTTCTCAGGTATTCAACTTTAATCTAGTTCATCATCAAAAACTTGAAAGATCTTGTTTAATTAATTTTATTATTTTTCTGTACATCAAACAAAGTCCATGATATTAATATTATGCTTTGTAAAATCGACTGCAAACTGAACTGCTGACCTACTTTATAAATCATCTCATTTAGCGAATAAATAACATGTATGCAGGCTATTCTCTTCAATTTTTGTGCTCTAATCACTACTGCAAAGGGTGCGGTTACCTAATTTGTCCAGTAACCTGACGAGTATGATAGTTAGTAAGATGTATCTGTTATAACTTTTCTACAACATCGTTTTAAACCAACACTTGCCATGAACAATAACGAGGAAGTAAAACAACGAATAAAGGAATGAAAGACATTAAAAGTAATCAAACCAGATAAACTTTCCTGAATAAATTTATATAAAGCTTTCACAGGGTGATAGTTCCTACCATTGACTTAAACATCCTGCTTGGTAAGAGCTGATCTCGAAACTGTAGTTTTCAGCTGTTCACGATGTGGACTTCGTTACCAAATATGTTTTCTTTTACATTTTTACGAAACTGGTTGATTAGGAAATTAAAAACGATAAAATAAATGAATGATAAAGATATCGAGAAAGCTAAATATGTTCGAACACTTTCACTATTTTGTTTTTTCTTTGTTGTAAAGCACAAAGCTACACAATGGGCTATCTGTGCTCAACCCACTGTGGGTATTGAAATGCGATTTTAGCGTTGTAAGCTCACTAATTTACCACTGAGCAACCGGAGGGGGAGGGGGCAAGGAATAAAAATCAAAAGTGATTGCATAAAGAAAAAATCTACTAATCTATTTTAGTGTTTATATTTGCATTAGAAAGTACCAACAACATTATGATCAGAAATAACTGATAGTTTGTTTTGGTAAAAATTTGAGCAGTGGGATATTTGCGCTATGTTCTCCAGGGAAATCGAACTCCGAATTATAAACTCAAATCTACCGATGAGCTGCAGGGGAGTGAGCAGCAATAAATAAATTGTTTGTCTCTTCGCTTTTTAAGTGTTCTTTAGAAAGGAAGTGTGGTCATAGAAGCTATTTGTAGTTTGCCTGTTACTCATAATTAAGGCTATTTATTATCAATTGTAATTACACAGGCCTGCGAATTTAAACTTCATAAAAGTTGTTTTGGTTTTAATAACGTATTTTCCATAATTCAGCTACGCAGATTTCGAAAATAATATCCAATTTTTTTCTATCACGTAAGAATTTTTTACAAATCGTGAAGAAAATCTCTTACTTAGATCAAATTATTATTTCGTTTACCACAATGAAAATTTTTTATTATTATTATGTTTGTTAACAAAAATAGAAGCAAATTGAAGAAAAGAGAAGAACATTGATGTCAAACGAATATACATCTTCATTCATCCTGATTTTTTTTTGGTGAAATCTACGTCTTTTAGTCTCATAACTACGTGCTGTGGTCTTTCTTTTATGTATTACGTTACGACGTTTGTGAAAAATCTGTATGTGATGGAGAAAAATGGATATCATTTTTGGATTCAACGTATAGTAATTACTGTAGAACATGTAAACATTTCAAGACAATAAAACCACCACAGGCCTGTATTATCGTTGAATTTTAGCAGTTCTTCTGATAGAAGTTATTACATAATTCAAGGTACTGAAATTGTACATACAGATTTAATATTATTTGCTAAAATATAAGATACTATTAATTTCTGTATTTATTATGTTATTGGCATATAAAGGGTTCGAATTTAATTTGGTCTTGCAATACCTGAAGGAAAACATTTATGCAAATTATGGAATGTATTTGTATGGTAATAAACGTATATAACTAGATTTCGTTCATTCATTTGAGAGCAAACCAAAACCTTCTATGTAGTTTCTGTTTAATAGTATTGTATTTTCTAAGTATCGTATGGAAAAACGAGGAATGTAGAAAACACATAAAATAATGTATTTTTAGCTTTCTGTAATTTGTCACGTTCGTGCCTTTTGTTGACAAGTATATTAACAGCTGGAATTCTACTGATAACTTTGCATAGCCTAGAAGGAAATCTACGTACGATGTCAAAACGATCCGGCAGGCTAATGGTGAGTTACTACTGGTAGACAACAACTTACAACGTCAAAATTACTTCTATTCTTATGGTTAATGTAATTGAGAGCCAGAGATGGAACAACTAATACCTCTGGTTATTTGGTTGGTTACTACTGACACACAAGAGCTCGCTACATAAAAATGGCTTACGTTTATAGGTCGTTATAAGATAAGTGAAATTTATAAGCTGAATTGATCAGAATGAGTTCTAGCCTCAGTTTATAAATGGATAAGCTAACGTTTTTTATAATTTGATTGGACTCGTGTCAGTAGCTGTATTGTGGTATAGCCGATGAAACCTTGCTTGCAGTGAACGTTGACGTTTGACGTTCTCATTGAAGAAATATAGTATCAATATCTGAAATGCATTTGACGGCGCCCAAGTTTAAAATTCATCACAACTGTCCGTACATGCGGATACACTCTAACGAAGAGGGATGCATTTGTTACAAGAAGGGACACATTTGTTCTACAACAACAACAAAAAAAAGCAACTTAGCAGCTACTCACTTTAATAATTTTCTTTTAATGTGTTTTCTGTCAATTATTGAAGATAACGGTAAAATCCATTTGGTCTTGTAATTAAGACTTATTTTATGAACCAACTTAACGGAGCTGTTACTGAAAATATATTTATGGATAGAGTATTTTCACAGAGATTTTGGCATGGTTTAATCTGTCCGTGTTTACTGTTTTCTGTATCGTTCGAGTCACGCTACCACATAAGTTTTATTAATTTTAAGTCGCTGTTATGAATTAAGTAGTTTCTTTAATTCTTAATTAATACAGAAAAAATAGAGCTCCAGCTTAAGTTTTCATTTAACTTGAAAAGGTAGCTTTATCATTAAGTACTTGTCTAAATCCGGTTCCACTAACCGTTTCTCCGTTTTGATATGTAGAGAAATGTAGGCTTAGGATAAACTGAAAATTTCACTCTACTTAAATCAAGAATAAATAAATCATCATAAATTACGTGTAGAAAATAACTTCGAAAGCTCTTTCAACTGTTTTAAAGATGTTTTCACTCGTATAATTGATAAATGTGGTTGTCTTTAATTTGTTAGTTTTTAGGTTTTAGGTCTCCTTTTTATCAATTTTATTCTATTATATGTTTTTGTGTTATTATTTTGTTCTTTCTGATTTGTCTTTAAAAATCGATGAGTAGCTTAAAACTGCGAAAGCATTAAGTTTTAAAGTTAAATACAAATTATTATTTGGAGCTTGTGCCTCAAATTACTTTCATGCTTAAGTGGAGCTCAAATGTTTGAATATATTTGTATAAATATTTAATTAGTTAGAATCTTTAAGTTTGAGTCTTAGCACAAAGTTCACAATGAGTTATCTGACTCTGGCAACCGAGTGAGATCAACCTCGAATTTTAGCATTGTAAGTCCTCAAACTTGCTACTGACTCATCGAGGGAGAAGTTTTAAATATTTTAGCTATTTTACTGTTTATTTTCTTTTTCTTTTAATACTATGTAATTATTTAGTTTTGATTATATTATTCCAGATGGCGCTAGAGTGGTTTAATTGGAAAGCAATGTTTCGTACAACTCCAGGGTAAAGTCTATGTAAAAGCTGTGGTTTGCTACAATAAAATTAAACGATAAAGATAATTTATTAAAGCTATTTCAGTGTTTCTCAGACAACTAAGATGCAAATGCTGTGAGTTTTTTAGATCAACTGTCTATAAAATTATTTTGACACTTTCATTGTTATGTACAAAAATATATATATTTCATTAAATTGTTTGTTTGTTTGTACTTAAGCACAAAGCTGCACCATGGGCTATCTGTGCTCTGCCCACCACTGGTATCGAAACCTGGTTTCTAGTGTTGTAAGTCCGCATACATTCCGCTGTGCCACTAGGGGGCATTTCATTAAACGTTTTATGTTATTTTTCCTTTCAACTTTTAAGTTAATTTAAAACTACCTGCTCTCTAAATAGCCTGTTTCGTAGCATTAATTACTATTCATCTCTTCTTCTTTTCACATTAAAAACAACACACTTCAAAACCACAGTAAATTATATAATTCCTTTTTAAAATCCAAAAGATAGATAGGTTACTTACGTAATAAAATATGAGCCTCGTAAAACTTTTTATAAACTTCCAATATAGTTAAAATTTACAGCAAACTAAAGAGTTAAAGAGGATTAATTATATCTCTAGTACGCAGTTCAGAAACTCAATTTCTTTATCTCTTTTATTTTAAACAAATTAGAATTCAAAAGGGTTTCTACTTTATTATGCAAGTAATCTCTTTATATCCTTATGATCAGGGATTACACAGTTTGCTGTAATTTTAAACTGTGATTTTTCTATATATTTTAAATTATTTTAAAAACACAATGTTTTATATTTAAATTATATTATTAAGGCGAAAAGAAGTAAGGAACAAGAATAGTGAAACAAACCGATATGGTGTGAACGCCCTTCCTAAGCTGGAGAAGCATGATTAAGATTGATTATTCAGTGTACTTGTCCTAAGACATTAGTATTAGATCTATTATATTTTGTAACACTGCATTCTTTATGTAGACCCCTAAGGGACTTTCAAGAAATAGAAGAATATATAACAATAGTATTCCAACACTACACTATGTTCGTCATAGCCATTGTCGACGACACGTTTCGCTCAACTCAGAGTTCAGCAGGCCGGCTGGGGCAAAACAAATAATTTATTTTGACAAATATGAAGATTTCGCTTTAAGTTATTGAGATGCGAAAATTCAGTATTTTGTCACTAGAGAGCATAGAAATAGCTGATAGAATCTATGAAGTTAAAAATCCACCTACTTCAGTTAATTTTGCTTTTGTTTAAGTGTAAAGTTCAACAATGGGATATATGCACCGTATTCAACACAGGGGTTGAACTCAGAATTTTAGTGTAATACTCCTTGATAACGTCTTTCTCAGTCCAATGTAAAATTTTAGTATGCACAAGAAACAAAAAACTTTACATTTTTGTTACTGCTTTATTGTATTTAATTTAAAAAAAATAACTTACTGACTACTAAATGTGTGAAACTGGATTTGCGTGTTTGTGAACTATGTATAATTAGATTTTACAATAGTTGACTTGAAATAGTATTCAAGAAAAAATAGCATTCGAGAAACAAGTAGATTTCTACTGTAGTAAGAAAATAAATAAACAGGATAATAATATATATACATATATTTTCATTATAACGTGTATTATGTTCTTAGGAATAGTATTTTAAAACTTTACTCAAGTTTTTAGTCAAAAATGAATAAATTCAGACTAGAACTTTCAAGATGCCGTAGAAGAAACCGTTAGTTTCACACTCACACACACACAGACACACACACACACACACACACACACATATATATATATACTAAAGTGTAACATATAGGTCTGCACTGAGAGCATGATCACCTCAATTTGTAGGTGAAGTTATTTTCCTGGTTCCTTGAGCTATGACACATGTTTTTCTGTTTTTCAGGTAGAAAGAAGATGAAAATGAACAAATTCAATATTCTCGTACTCAACACGTGGCGTACATGAACTAACTTCTTATGGAGTTCAGCTGCCTTCTGTTTATATTCCTTAATCTAATTGCTCTTACATTAGAAGTTAGATGTTGAATCAGTAGGCTGCTTTTTTTAGTGGGGAGGGGAAAATTTCACATTAATTAGCTAATCAATTTCGCATTCATGTTCTTTTTAAATTCATATGACACTTTTTGTCTATATTAAGAAGGCAGCAGTCAATGAAATAGACTTTAATTTTCTTTCTCTCAGAGTTTGTTGACTCTCTCTGCTTTTACTTGCTATTCCTTTTGCAGTCTGATAACATAAATAGCGCCTCAACAACTGCTACATCTGTTGTATCCCAGCCAGCCTGAAGAGGCCTGGTATTAAACGAAAGGCCTCGTAAGCACCCAATATAGCAGATATTTTACTTTCACTCAAAGGTTCGTATTAGTAATAGCTTGCCCCCCAGTGGCACAGCGGAATGTCTGCAGACTTACAAGGCTAGAATCAGGGTTTCGATACCCGTGATGGGCACAGCACAGATAGCTCATTGTGTAGCTTTGTGCTTAATTACAAATAAACAAATTAGTAATAACTTTATTTTATACTTGGAATAAAGCAAGTTTGAGTGAACCGTCTGTGGATATTGTGCTGCCATCTCTTGCTAGTTTCAGAACTATATGTTTTTTTAATCCCAATTACTTCCAGTTGAGAGGATTTTGGTTAAGACTTTTTTTGTTGTTGTTATTTTTGCTGTTATTTTAATACTGCATTTGATTCCTTAGTACATTAAATTCAAAAAAATCACATATCCTTTACAGTTAGCAGATGCCAATAATTATATCAACACTCATTTGTTAAACCATATATATATAATTCTCCTTATTAGCATATGAACATTTTATAATAATTCCTACACTAATGAATTAAATGGGTTGGCTTTTATTTACTTTAAGCCTAAAAAAGCGCTTTTATGAATTTATAAAAAACACAAGTTCTAATGATTCAAGATCGAAGACTACAGTGATTCACTGATCTATATTTTTGAACATATATATTTAAATGAAAATCCGCTGGCAATTTCTTTTCGAACATGAATGCCTGTCAAAATTATGTTGTTCTTAGACTATTATTTCTCTCACCAATATATAAAAATCCTATCATGGGTTGAAGTTATTCTGAATATTTGTCTTAAGCTTTACCGACGTTTTAGGTAGTGTGTATATTACACTTATTCAACGAAAATCCTTAGTTTCTCTTCTTCTTATCATGAAATCTCTAATATCCAGTTCGTTTATAAGGATTTTGCATACTCTAATAAACTAATAAGATTATTTTTTTCTTGCAAAGTCTTAAAAAATCACTGATTGGTTATTGTTAACTACTGAATCAACTAAAAAAAAAGGCATATATCATATGATTGTCAATAAATACATTTTTGGTGTAACTACGGTATTGGAATAAAGGTATAGAAAAGCACAACATATGAACACATTTAGGAAGTAAAAAAGGAATCGTAATATCATGTACGATGATTACGTGCTAACAGTCGTTTTTACATCTTGACGACTTTGTGCAAAGAACTATCATGACCCATCTATCCACCGATCCATCCACCTGTGTTCCACAGTTCACGTAATTACTGCTTATGAATAAAATACAATATGTATACAACTCCATTGTTTAAAGTCTTATTCAAAGGAAAAATGGAGAAATGGGGGAAAAAATGTATTAATATAGCATAGCTTGTTACGGAAGAAAACATTTCCACTGGTTTATTCCTTTTATACAAACAATTTATTTCCTTTCACTTATAAACAATACAAATAATTGTGTCGAAAATAAAATTGTTTATACTTCCTCATTATTCTTTGGTCACTCTAACGATAATACTTTGTTTCAGGTTTTTGAGAGTATATAAATCAGTTTCAAGTCACTAGAGGGCATAGAGATTGTCGATAGATGATTGTTGTCTTCCCACAGCAACTAATTCGGTTAATTAAAAGTTTTCTCCTTTTGGCAGAAGAAACTAGAACAATACAAGAAATAAAAGTTATATTCGTTGTCTCTCTCTAACGCGTGAGAGGTAAAGTTGCATTAAAGGATATACAGCTAGCTGCTTCAACATAACATATTCCTAAGTATGTTTTAAGATATTTTTGATACAAACACACGATTTTATGGGTATACACATATATATATAAACTAAGCTGATATTTTTAAGTTGATTTCAAACTGACCCATTTAGCAGAAGAATCTATGATACAACAAGATAAAAAATAAAATGAATTACTTGAGAGTCTTCTCTTTGTTTCTGATAAAAGAAAAGTAAAATTACATTAAATGATATAAATATATATTTTTGTCAACATGATAGTTAGTTTAATTTAGATAAAACGAGATGATTTTATAGATCTACATATAGAGGAATAATATTAATGTTTTCTTCTGTGAAGTTGACTTCAAACAGTTAGGTGCAGTTATTATCTCACTTTAGTCCCACCATCCATAACCACCTCCTCCTCCACTACCCTTTCCCCCTCCAAAATCTCCCTCCCTCCACCAAGTCCGCCTCCACCGAATCCTCCACTACCAAATCCACCTCCAACTTGTAGTGATAAGGGCACAGCAAGAATCTGGAAAACTCCTCCTCCGCCTCCACCACCATAACCTCCTCCGCCACCTCCATAGCCTCTTCCACCACCACCACCTACTGCAACTGGTATAGCCTATAATATAAATAAGCATATATACAATTACTATGATGGCGTACGTTTTGTTGTACTTAGGAGCGAAACACAATATTCTGTGCAGGTTACATTTACACAATAAGTTTTTTATATAAACACACAATTTAAATAAAGTTGAATAAAATCAACAATTGTATAGCAGACATGAGAAAAACCTTCATATTTTTCACATTTAAAATACAAATGTGCAAAACAAAGTATGAAAATAGCATTGCATGTAAAAAAGGTAAAAAAATAGAGAAAAATTAACACTAGATCTTACCTGTTGATAAACATTAAAGCCATATTTAAAATGATCTTTAATAATTTAACACAAAGAGAAGCACTGATCAAAATCACAATAGCTTATCACTTTAATTGGACAATGAGAAAATCTCAACTGGAACTACTAGTATCTACAAAAAATCTGTTGTAACTATTTGATTAAATGGAGTCTTATTCAGTTTTGCAAAGATACCTTCGATTCAAATCTATTACCAAATCTGTCTATATCAATTCAAATTTATTTTGCTGAAGCTTAAACAGTGTTTTAAACTGGTCATTTAAAAGTGAAATACACAAATGAATTACAGATTATAACAACTCTAAAATGCAAAGATAAAAGAATATATAAAGAAACCACAAAACTAAATTGAGAGTTCAACAGAAAAAGCATATGAGAATATACTGCTGTATTATGTTTTAATAAGATACAGGGTGGTCCCATAACAATATGCATGCTTTAATAACAATAAATGATACATAAAGACATCAGTTATACAAAAAGAAAGAAGGAATTATGAATTTGCTAAATAACACAAGCATTTGAAATGATGGGCTACCACATGATTTGGTACAGTAGTACTTAATAGTAGGGATCGTGATGAAACAAAATGGTGGTCATAAAAACTGCCCATTTAAAACCACCATTAAAATGTCTGAATATTAACAATGACTACTTCACAGTATTGGCAGAGCAAAACTAAAGCTTATTGTACTTATAAAGTCACCTAAATCACTATATACCTCTTTATGGAGTGAATCAAAAGTTCATTATTTCATCTAAATAAGTAAGTGACTTTTCCAGGCAGTATGAAAATATAGTTTTTACTGTTATTAAATACCCTTTTAATCTAGGTTTAGAGGCGGTACGGTCTTGTAGAAAATAAGAACTGTTAAATACTTGCTGAATTATCAAGTAAGATAGTTATACAGTTAAACAACTGACAAACAATACTGACAAAATATTTTTAATATTTAAATTCGGTTGATAGTGTGAAACTGTAATAATTTAAGACAATGGAGTGAAAGATAATGTTTTATATGTTATATATGTTAGATAATGTTCAGAAGTTAGCAAGAATTTACAGATAAGTATTTAATATCTAGATACTTTATCACTTTCGGGGAATTCTTTATTAAAGTAGAGATGAAAAATACATGGTTTTTAGAAGTTGACAATATTATATCCAGAGTGAACAACCTTATCACACAACGCAACCTGCTGTTCACTTATAGTTTAAGTACCATTTAAAAAAATACATCAGTCAGTAATTTATACCTGTATAGTAACACCTCCACCACCACCAAATCCACCACCCCCTATTCCTCCACCTCCATAACCTCCTCCTCCACCGTAACCAGTAGCTGAAGCTTTCAAGTCATCTTCTATCTTCACTTCATCTTGAGTTTCACTATGTACCCACGTTGTTAATAGTAGCAGAGACAGAATAAAAGTTACCTGAGTGGACAAAGCTTGAAGAATTATCCGTATTTCTTATACAAAAATATATATTTGATATGATGTCCCAATAACAAACGTAACTGTTTCTAAAGAAAACATACTGGTATATATATAAGCATTTTGATTATATATTCGTGGTTTTTACCTGACGTATAATAAAAAGGTACATCATTAGAAGAAAAGAAATTGCTTTGAATAGTTTGATATCTTGGTAAAATATTGCTCATTAAGATATTATAAAGTACAAAAACACCATTATTTCTTCATACCCTATTCTGCATCTCTCGTTTAGTTTCAAAACCTACTGTGTGAATCAGTAGACTTCAGTGTTCTGAGCTTTTCTCTTTAACTCTGCACTTATATACTCATCTTGAAACATTTTAAAAATAACTAACCCTTAAAATGCACTGAACAATAAAAATTTACCAGGCCGCTATATGTCGATTATCTAATATAAGCTTTGTGTTTTTCCGTCATTATCCTAATCTAGTAAACGCGGACAATTTTTACAGTATTTTCCTTATTTCATTTATAGGTCACTTACGAAAAATATTCTTACAACGTACCTCATAGTTAGTTTTCTTTTTCTTTCGGAACGTAATTAATTTTATCATTTCATTTTTTAAATTATCTTATTATAAAGGGATTTTTATCATTACTAGGGTTTACTGATCCAGTTTAACGTACATATTTTATCAGAGAATACTCTGTTGGGATTATCACCTAAATGTTTCACGTAATTGCCTTTGTAAGTAGGTTCCTGTATATTTTAGTCACGATTATCATACTTCCTAAATAGTACGTGCTCAAGTTCCTCTTTTTTCATCTTTGTTTTGTTAAAAACAAGAAATCTTACATTTATGATGTGTGAGTTTATTTACCACTTACCTTTTGTTATCTTTCATTGCGAATGTTGAAATTTTCTCCTTAGATCCAGGAAATTATGATTGAGGATAATCATGCAACTTCTGTTTATTTTGGTGTTATAAATATCATGGTAACATAAAGCATTCTACATCCTCAATGGAATGTCCTCTGCAAGGTAAACGCGTTTCAATGAACTACTTCTAAAGATTGTTTTTAAAACTCATAGCTTGGGTAAATTAATACGTAAAAAAAATTACACGGACTGTTCTCCACGTTAACTACTTTTCTTTTAAGTACGAGCCTTCATCGGGTAACAATATACTGAATAATACAACTTTGTTTTATCTGTATAACTTTTTTAAAAGCACGTTTCTAAGCAACAATCTTAACACTGCTGAAAATCTGATACATTACCGGCAAGAGGGCCGAAAGCTCGCACTTGAGAGTAGTTAACGTAAAGAACAGTCAGTATGAATTTTTTATTTATTTTTAAGTGTACTATCTCAACTAATTAAAGTCATTATGATATTTAAAGGACAAATCTCGACGGCTAGGTCTCAAAAGAATGATTACCTTGGTTAGTATTGTACCTTCAGTTTTAACTATATGAATATAAATATAATTATGTAAATACTTTAAAGTTATAATTGGAGAGATACTAACATCTTGGAAATGTTTAAACGAAATATCTCGAACCATAACAATTGTTACTCAGTGTGGAAATATGAGATTGCGTACGCATTAGATTTCCAGGTATATGGGAATAATTTAGATGTATTAATAGCATATACACAAATCGTTCGTAAATGAATATTTTGCGCTTGATAAAAGTTTATCTTACTCTTTTGCGAAACTGAAACTGAAATTTTTTGTAATGTATATAAGACATCCAATAGCTTATAATTGCTAAAGCATTAGATTACACTTAAAATTCATTGTGCATCTGTAGTTGTATACGTGATTTGGTGACTAGGTAGAATATTTCATAACTAAATGCCACTAGGGGGCGTTGATTTGTTTATAAAATCTGTGCTGCTTAACAAATAAATTGACCCTTTAGTGCATGATTTCGGGGACTTTTCTCGAAAGCTTTTCTTGATTCACAGATCAATGTTAAATCCCACAAATAAGACACACACAGACATATACACAAATAATCTATAGCGGGTTGCAATGGATTAGTTCTGTGATATTATTTTAAGCAAATATATATGTATATATATACCCAACTCCAATCACTTTCTCATAACATATACATCTAAAAAATTAAATTTATCATTATTTTTTTACCGGTTTCATACGTTCAGATATGCCTCAGAGTAAATCCATAAATCACAAAAATACGAACAACACATTCGACAAAACAAACAAATCTATAAGCAGACTTAGCCTTAATGAAACAAACAACTTGGGTGTCATTTCTTTTTAGGGTCATCTATCTTTTAAGTATCAGTGTTACATTAAATTCCTTGATAAGATCATTTTCATACCAATTTATTCCATTTGTATTCTGAAAGATCAGAAAGGACATAATTACAAAAAATATAAAAGTTTCCATTAGACTACCTAATCTATCTTTACTACAATTATAAAAATGTTATATGGCATATAGTGATTACCTAATCTATTTTGAACACATTTATTAAAATACTGTCTAGCATATGATGCACTACCTAATCTATCTTTACTACAATTATAAAAATGTTATATGGCAAATAGTGATTACCTAATCTATTTTTAATACATTTATTAAAACGCTGTCTGGCATATGGTGGTCTATCTAATATATTTTTAATACATTTATTAAAACGCTGTCTGGCATATGG